GTCTGAAAGGAAGTAACGCTAGAGTAGACTCGCGAAAAGTGTATAAGACACTTTTAAGATCAACTAAATAGCTAAGCCCAAGGGAAGTCGTTCGGGGAGGCCCTCCCTAATTCCACAAGGGTGAGAAGAAACACACACGATAACGAAACGTTGAATCATGTAGAACTCGTAGGGTAAATGCAAAGCAAAATAGGAAGAATATGCAGTAAGCTAAGCGAAGAGGTAAGCAAGAGACATGTTAGACTGTACTACAACTACTAAACGTGTTATTTCTACTACTACATAAAAAAAAAATAATAAAAACATCTACAATCAACAATTACTTCAAATAAAATGAACAAAAATAAGCATGCAAAATAAAAAACTAATTCAAATAAAATGAACTGCAAAAACCATGCAAAATAAAAAATTAATTTGAATAAAATCAACTTAATGAATTCTACTAGATAGAGCATGCAAGATAAAGAACTATTTCAACTATGGGGTCATCTTTGTCTTCTCCAACGTCGATCTGAAACAGATACGGTGGTAACAGATTAATAAAGAGCAATTAAAATTAATTATATCAAGTAGTCTCACCTTAATTAACTGTAGACTGTAACATTCCAAAGTTTGCATGTGTGAAAAGCAAACCAAATCCAGGAGGAATACCATAGCAGAAAATTTGTTGTTTCAAAAGAAGTCAAAGAAACCTCCAGTTGCTCTCATTCGTAGGTTGAAAATTGACTGCATAATGGTTCAAGGTGAAGACAAAGCAGCAAATCAAGTATATACTCCAGGAAAGATGAAACCCATCTAGACATTGCTGGTTTCAGTATGACCAAGCTGACTTTAAGTCTCTCTCTTTTCTTGGATAATCTGCAGAAATGAACAAAAAACCTTATTAATTACACTATTAACGAAGGAAGGGATGAAAGAACACCTAAAAACAGACCAAAAAGCAAATAAAGCAGTCGAATTATAAAAGGATGACGAGCCTCAATTTTACATAAAGATCGTATTTGACATATGTGAAATAATCATAGATGCATATGTATAACGTCAATTCATGATGCGAACCATAGATAACTGTTAAATGAAACACTATAGATGCTACGCATAATAGATAAATGTTAAAGTGAATACCATAGATACCATAGAGTGAACTCCGTACGTATTTAGAAACTTAATTAATGCGAATTGTAAAAATAATCCCATACCCGATAATTAAAATACATACCACAGATAAAGCTGTAATTCCAGGGCGTATAATGATAAATTTTGTATGTGTTATTACATTTTTAAATCTTTTATCAAAAATGCACACAAAAAGTCTAACCATTAATACTGCAAAGTGAAAGTGCAGCGCACAAGCAACAGTAGACAGTGACGTGTGAAAAGAATGAAGTACGTCATCGACGTCATTATAAATTTGTTAATCTCGTCGAAGATAGCAGTAAACATAAGACATATAATAATGGACGTGCCTTAGCCGTATGGTTTCAGACTAGTGCTATCTCTTTTATTACACGCTTACGCATTAACGTGAGAGAGATGGATATTGTCCGAAACTTCATTCTATCTCTTTCTTTTGTTGTACCACAATTCTGATCGCTAAGGCTTGTCCATTAGTATATGTCGAGGTAAAGGTAGCGTCACTGTGAAATAGACACAGACATGACAAAAAGAAAAACAATAGATAATAAATTTCCATAGAGTAGAATAAACATAAGGCATGTTCAAAAATTGTACACCTATAACTTTATACTAAAATCACATAAAATTACTTTTCTACTACAAATCATGTTTTTTTATATTAAAGCCTAAATATTAATTAATCAATAAATCAAAGTAGTTACTCAATTTCATAAATCTACTTAAATCTATTATTGTAATATATAAGAATGTATTATTGGAGTGGTATAGTGTGGTTGCAATATGGAGTTTTATGCGAAGTGTACGATGTGTTGCATACCCATTCACAAACAATTCCTTCAAATTTAATTTTTCAAACAATTTTTAACATAAAGAAAGTGATTAAACAAATTGTTCACCTTCACTCGAAGTATGGTGCTAACAGTTTCGAGCTCACAGTGACTGATAGGAGAGAAGAACTAGTTTTAAATAAACCGCAAACTTAAACTTTTTCTTAAAGAGGTTTGGTAGTTATTGCGAACATTCTACGAGAGTATTAATTTGATGGTTTGTTTTTATACCTATAAATTGCCGTGTTCATATTACTGAAGAAATAAATTGAAGTTGCTATTTCCCTCCATAAAAACGCGTTGATGAGTTTACATGATGTTTTCTGTTCCTAAGTAAAGGTTTGTCTTCTATGACTTCATTATACCACACACATCTCCAAGCTGTGCAAAATAAGAAGGGAATAAATTATACAATAGAAATTGTATTTAGAATTACACTGTAAAGCTTAAAAAAAATCTTTTTTAATTGCATTAAGAGATATTACAAATTATTAACTCTGGTAAATTAATAAATTGAAAGAAAACTGCAAGACAATTTAATTTGCCTGAATTTTCAGAATAAATGAGTCCTTATCTTATTATTTTACGATTTTATTGGAATTTAATAAACGGTATATACGTATTGAACGACAAGTCAAACAAAAACTCTTGTACTGTATAAATAACTGGTAAAAAAATGATTTTTTAAACAAGTCGTTTAACATACCCCTAATCACTAATTAGATGTATGATGATCCACTTTTCATCGCCAAGTGTTGACAGGTTTTAATCCACTTTTGTTTCTTTCTTCACCACACATAGAGCAGTTCTGACCACGAACTGTGAAAACAACCCGCTGGCTTTTCTGAAATAAATGAAACAATGTTTGTTAATCTTGTTTTATAATTAGTATACTTGGACAGGTATCAGATAGATTGCAGGTAAATGTTATGTTTTATTTTACAATACAAACTATATTTATAACGAATATAAATATTACAATATTTCATATTTTAAGTACAGTGTTATTTATATTTTTTTAAAATATATGTCACATTATAACATTTTAAAGGGAAATCTTCCAAATTTTACGAGTTACAAAAAATAAATTTACGTATATTGAAATTTTAATAAATGGTAACCAATTTTCTTTGTTAAATTTATTTAATTACTTTTGGAAATGTGCCCTATACGAACGTTTACGTACTTTTTGGAGATAAAAATATACTGCAGTATAAATTTAAAAAATTGAATATTTTTTTGGAAGGAAATAAAAATAATTATCAAAAGAGCTTTTGTCGCATTTTTTTTTT